CCATCTCATTAACATCATGGAGGTAGGATTTACAACACATAGGAAAATCACATCAGATGACAAAATGGTGGACAGTCACACAATACTGGGAATCGTGGCCTAGCCAAGTTGACACACATTTTTTGGGGACACAATTCAGTCCATGACAGTTCCCAAGAGGCAAATGCATTAATAATCAGGTAGAAACTTGAGGCACTTTACATATGTTTAAATGCGTTGGCAAAATAGGAAACTTTCTTAAGCAAGTAGCATATAACATAGAGCCTGATTCTCAGCAGATTCTCTGTAAGCCTTCCTTTTTCTTCCTTGCCCTACTTCTAGATAGTGAACATGAGAAAAGAAAGACCGTGGCTTCTTTATTCCTCCAACACCTTTACTGAACTGAAACCAGGTTTATGCGATGCTACTGTGGAGAAGAGAACTAATGTTTATGGAACCAGGACAAATCCTCTTAAGAATGGGCAAGCAAAGAAGCATGTAATATTTACTGAGCATCTGTTTAGTTCCAGCTATTTCATTTGTATCAGCTGCTCACAACAGTCCAGCCTCCATTTTAAAGATGAGCAATCAGAGATTCAGAAGGTAAAAATTTGCTCAAAGTCACATAGCTACTAAAGTGGCCAACTCAGGATTTGTCTCCAACCAAATTGTGTTCTTTCGTAAACTACCCAACCCTTAAAACTACCATGTAGGATTGAAAGCAGTAACTCAAATAGATACTTGTACACTGATGTTCATTGTAGTATCATTCACGAGAGCCAAAAGATAGGAACAACCCAAGTGTCCATCAACTGAAGATCGAATAAACAAAATGTGTTATATACATTCATTCAAATATTATTCAGTCATAAAGAGAAATGAAGTTCTGACATAGGCTACCACATGGATGAGCCTTGAAAACATTATGCTAAGTGAAATAAACCAGGCACAAAATACTGTGTGATCCCACTTATATGAAGTATCTTCAATAAGCAAAAGCATTGAAACAAAAGTAGATTAGTGGTAACCAGGGACTGAGAGGAGGAGAGAAGGGGAGCAATAATAAAAAAATAAAATAAAGAAAGAGAATGAGACCAACATGTCACAGGGGGGAAATTACATTATCTAAAAAATAAAAATCATCATGTAAATCATTGAAGGGCAACTATGGTACAGGAAGATTGCCCAGCTGATTTGCCTTAGGGATGATGCAGAGATATTAAGTACCCCTAGAGCTCAGCTGCTAACCAAAATCTCGGCAGTTCGAATCCACCAGCCGATCCTTGAAAACCCTATGGGGCAGTCTTACTGTGTCTTATAGGGTCGCTATGAGTAGGAATCAACTCGATGGCAATGGGTTTGGCTTTTATTTTTGCTTTTACCCATAATGCCTTTAAATAAAATAATAATAATACTTTTCTCCTTGCAAAGATAATACAAGTTTATTATAGTGCATTCAAACATATGGACAGATAAAAAGAAGAAAATAAAAGTCACCAAAATCTTGCTGTCCAACAATAACCAGGGTTAACATTTTTATTCTCTTCCTAGTGATGTTTTCCAGGCTTACGTATTTATAAATATAATGCTCATACAAATAATCTATTTTGCAGAAAGTACCCACAATGTACATACAGTAAAACCTGCAAAAGCCAGACCCTGTGTAAGGTGGAAACCTGTCAGAGAAGGAAAAGTCACAAACAGTGTTTTCCATTAAAATGAGCGACAGAAAAATGGTAAGACTAATGCTGTCAAAGGCAGAAAACTTGCAAGACCCAGAAAAACAAGGCAGTGCTGTCAAGTTCTGGCTCTTACAAGTTTCATTCTACTTGATTTGCTAACTGATTTTTGCTTATTCAAACATATGGCATGTGAAAAACGTTTTTGTCTTCAAATTATTAGGA